GAGAGAGAGAGAGAGAGAGAGAGAGAAGTTGCCTTCTTCATTGTAAGTAACCTTCAAAGAAACCAGTTCTTGAAGCCAAGGTTTTGGGAGAGCTCTCTCTATTTACCTCTGAAAATGGGAAAAAATCAAATCTTTGGAGAAAAATCTGCTGTCAGGGCACTGTTCAGAAAATGTGTCGGGGCCATCCTTAATAAATTTATCATATCTCTAATATCCAAGTGCAAGCAATTACACAGACACACACAAAAACGCACACAAAATCCAGACACAGTTTGTCACTTGGAAGAACAAATAATGGTTTGGTGAAAACGGTAGCCAAGGGATGCGTAGATTGCATCTGTCTTCTCCCCTGTTTTTATTTTCTTCTCTACCAAAATCCTCTTTATGAATCGCTTTATCCTCCTCAATAAGATACTGTCTGCACAATCAGCGATGATAAATGGCAAATAATTGTAAACCTGATATTGCTTTTCAATATTGAATTTATCATGCTGTCTTCTTAACACATATTAAATACTTTAAAGAATTCATATATGTTAGATTACTCCGTGCTTCACCCCCACCCTCCAATAAACAAAATGTATTAGTTTTCTAGTTTGGGCGAATCTAAGAATAGGCAACATCATTAATAATGCGGAATAACAATCTGGTCTCCTTCACAGCTAATCTCTCCTTACTAATCCAAAGAACTCAAATCAAATAACTTATATTAGATTTAGGGGCCGAGATCCAATGCAAAACATTCATTCTGTACTCTGTACTCTCCGTACAGCTGATTTCACTCGATTTTTGCATGAATGGGGGGTGGGGGGGGGAACTTATCAAATTAGAAAGCTTTGAGGAATAATTGATTAAGAAGATCGGCCTCCAACCTGAAACTGCCAGGGATGTGAGACCGATAAAGATTCAGGGGGGGCAGTTTTAGAAAGAGTCCGCTGCCAGCTTGGTGAATAGCCCTTGCCAATCCATCCAGAGAGAGAAACATAAAGTCTTGCCATAACGTATATGGGGAGAGATTAGTTCTAATAAGAAACAGTTCAGCTCTTCAAATTCTTGTAAACCCCGCGCCATCCCTTTCAATAAATCTTGCTAAAGAAGACCGGGAGCGTGACGCATGCAAAGGGCTCACTTTTAGGCAGCTGCCAATAAGCCTGACAGGGGTCGGATTAACTGTCTGAAGATTTGGGCAGCTGCAGTCCAACCCCAGACTGAGGAAGGTTGAGTTAATTTGCTGCGGTGGTTCCAGATCGTTTGCCCAAGAGCTGCTCTTTCACCTCGTTTTCCTGGAGGCGTTCAGGAGTAAATCTGAGATTTGGGGCAGTAGCAAAAAAGCCACCGTGGTGGTTCATCAGGTGATGTCCCAGTTTTGTCCGTTATCTTTGCTAAAATTTGAGACAGGATTCTCCAGACTTCAAAGAAACGAAAAAAAAAAAAAATTCAGGGAAGAGCTTGAAGGAAGAATCTAGAATCCCTAACAAATCGGCAGGCTTTTTATTAAGGCCCATTTTCATTCTTTGCAAACTGAAAAAATAACAACCCTACAATGGTTTATTGTTTTTTAGTTTATAGGGCTAATTTTTCCCAATTTTTTCCTAATTTTCCCTAATTTTTTTGTCTAGTGGCATCAATTTGGTTTGTTGATTCCTTCTTGGTGTTTACCAGACTCCCCGTTTCCCTTACTGGTTTTTTTTTTTTAATTAAAAATTTTAAAATTATGTTTTTTTCAAAACAAAAACAAAAAACAATCACTACTCTAACGTTACCTTTTTTTCAAGATTGCTCGGGTTCCACATAGGAATTCTTAGAAGATAAAAAAGGAAGCCCAAAGGTGGCCATTTGGTGCTAGAGTCCATAACACGCTGTCAAAATTCCCAATATTTTCACCAGTTCAAAATGATAGCAAGCCTGCGGAGCACTGAATCACACTTTTCAAACTGACATTAAGCATCTCCTGCATTGGCTCACGGGAAGCATGGCTGGCAGGGAAGATGGAAGGGCTGGATCTAAACTCAAGGAATAACCCTGGATGGCATGTGGTCCAGTCTCAAGGTCCAGGCAGAGGGGGAAATGCAATGGGCAGGAAATCTGAAACCTATCAAATGAACGATGATTCATGGACAATCATTTGTCTGAAATGATAGGGTTTCCTGCTGGAGCAGGGGGGTTGGACTAGAAGACCTCCAAGGTCCCCTCCAACCCCGTTATTCTGATGATGAGGCACAGTTTGACTCATCAAAATAACTTAAAATGGGAACAAAGGGGAAAAAAAGAAGAGTTTCCTATACTTGAAATTCAAGGTCACTCCAGAGTTCATTTTTTTCCCCTACCAAATAATCTTTTCTCTGATTATTTCTAGCAAGGATGAATATGTTCCAGATCTGAAGGCAGGAACCCTCTCCAAGCCAGTTGTGCGAGATCTGCTTTTATGCCAGCCAACTCTCTGGACCCAGCAGAATGGATGAAGATCCTTTAGTCTGATATAAGGGGCTATTTCTGTATCTTTCACCTTCATGAGGCCCCTTCTTTTCAAACCATTAGACTTGCACTGGGAAAAACCTAAGTGGGGAAGAGCACCTTTCTCGTGCAATAAAAGGGGCATAAACTCTTGGAAGTGCCTCTTTTGTGCTCTTAGACACGAAGAGCAGATTCCTGGCTAGATGGCAAGAAAGTGGTTTAAAAAGCAGCAGCAGCAGCAGCCCAGAAAAACCGTCTCCATCTTACACTACAGTACATAATGACGTCTCTTTTTCGGCACAAGCTTCTGCTTTTCTGCCTCCTGTTTTCTTTTCCTTTTTCCTTCCCTTCAGGACACCCTCCCAGGGGAGATCAAACTGTCTGTGTGTGGTGGGGGTGTGTGTGGGGGGTGTGAGTGACCTGCCTTCATGCTCCCTCCTTGCTCATGATCTGCTTGTCCGCAGACAGAAGGCAGGAAGGAGAGTGTGCCAGGTAAACCATCTGTCTTCATTATGGCCTAGAAGAGATGCCAGGATGGTTTCCTGCCATTCCCCCCCCTCCCCCAGTGGAAGAATATGGGAGTGGGTGGGTGGGGAGAACCCACTGTGATCCGAAAACATTGTGACGCTGGATTTTGCAACCAGGTGAGTGCAGGTTTTCAATCAGGCTGTAAACTGTAGACCTCAGCTGGACATTTTCTGTCTCCAAAGTCTCACCACAATCAGCCTTTTTCAAAAACCTGTCTTTTGGGGGGGGAAATAATCATATATATATCAAAAGGATGCATATTTGATCCCTCGGTCTTCTTCCTCTCAACTGCTGAATCGGTGCCCATGGGATTTAATCTCTTGCAGGGCCCAAAGGAAATGAGATGGAGAATGAAATGGTGTCTGAACATCTTTTTTTTCTTCTAGAATTGAAGGGTCTTCAAACTTGGCAAGTGTAAGACTTGTGGACTTCAGCTTCAAACTTGGCAAGTGTAAGACTTGAGCTAACATGACTGGAGGAGGAATTCTGGGAGTTGAAGTCCAGAAGTCTTAAAGCTGTCGAGTTTGAAGACCCGAGAGAGGTAAAAATAGAAAGAGAGATAGAGGGAGAAAGAGAGAAAGATAGAATAGGTAGGTAGGTAGGTAGGTAGGTAGGTAGGTAGGTAGGTAGAATGAATAGATCAAGGGTCTTCAAACTTGGCAAGTTTAAGTCTTGTGGACTTCAACTCCCAGAATTCCTGAGCTAACATGACTGGAGGAGGAATTCTGGGAGTTGAAGTCCACAAGTCTTAAAGCTGTCAAGTTTGAAGACCCCTGTTCTAGACCAAAGTTCCAGATTTCTTGCTGATGTGTGAAATGAAAACAGCTATTCCCAAGTAGGATCGGTGCAGGCAGTCCTCAACTTATGGCCACACAACGGGGGGGCCAGAATTTCCATTGCTAAGCAAGGTGGTTGTTAAGTGATTCACACAGTTGTTAAGTGAATCCAGCTTCCTTCCCCAACTTTGCTTGTCCAAAGCCAGCTGGGAAGATCACAAACAGTGATCACACTGGGACACTGGCAACCAACGTAAATATCTGCCGGTTGCCAAATTGTGATCACGGGACTGCAGGATGCTGTGAGGGTTGTAAGTGCGAAGACTCCTCGTGAGTCACATTTTTCGGTGCACTTTAAAACAGCTGAAACGACTATACATACAGGTAGTCCTCCACTTACAACAGTTCCATTAATGACTGTTCAGAGTTAAAATGGCACTGAAAAAAGTGACTCATGACCGTTTTTCACACAGCCATTGCGATCACGCGAATAAAATTCAGGCGCTTAACAACTGGCTCATATTTATGTCGTTCGTAGTGCCCCGGCCTCACATGATCCCCTTTTGCGACGACTTAAAAACTGCCGCGATTCACTTAACTCTGGCAAGAAAAACAATATGGGGCAAAATTCACTTAACAACTGTCTCACTTAACAACATAAATTTTGGGCTCCACTGCCCCTGCGTAAGCCGGGGACTGCCAGAATGTTGGAGGGAGGAAATGGGAGCAGCTGTTTGAAGAATCTGAAAACGGGCCTAAGGGTCCAAAGAATAAAATGCTCAACAGAATGAAAAATTGCTCATTCGACCCACAGAAAATCAGGAGCTGACGTCTCCTCACCCTTTTTGGCTATCAGGCAACGTGCGAGCTGCTGCTTTTCAAAGTCTGCATAGTTGCTGTGAAGATAAAAAGAGACAATTGTACATTACAAAAAATTGTCCTAGGTAAGCAGATTTGATAGCAAGAAATAGCAATTCAGGTTCCAGAAGACAAAATTCTTACCACAGCTAATTTTCATTATTGGGGGGTGGGGTGGGGAATCTACTTTGGTCCACAGATACTGTGTTGTGCTCCAAAACAACAGCAATCTCCCTCGTGCACACTTTCTGTTTTGAGTTTGCGGTGCTTGACATCAAACTCTAATAAAAGCTAATTCACAAAAATGAAGACATCCCTGCAAGTAAAACGGTGCTTTAATGTTGTTATGCACTTTTGCAGGCATGAATAATTTTATCGAGGTCAAAATGGGCAATGCGCTCAAAGTAAAATAAGTTTAACATTCAAGTTGACCACTCTAGATATCTGCTATTTATTTTAGCATATCATTTGGCAGTTTTCATTCCCCCACCTCCCGGTTATCTGATACATAGGAGACGATCAGCAAAGGAGGTTGGATGAACAAAAAGGAATTTAAAAAATCTCGAAAAAGAAAAAGGAATCCTTAAATTCCAATAAAAATAAAACTGAGATTATTAGAAGCATATTCAAACTAGTTCAAGGTCTCCTGGATATTTACTTTACCATTTATTTCAACAGGATTGGTGCAAGAGAAGATAAAACGGCTCTCCCTGGAAAACCATGCCTCTCATAAGACCTCTATCTCCATCTCTATTCTTAATTAAATAACTCATTACTTAATAAAGTCAACCAATGATTTATTTGTATTCATTAATTCTGAATAAATGCTGCTCTTTGGCGTTGGTTTTGTCACTGACAAAGATAAGGTCCTGAAAATAAAGTAAGATGGTTTGATTTAAGCAGGCCACATTAACAAGCCCCGTGGTTAAATTGTGGTAAAAGATGGATGCCCTTCGCTTCTGTTTTGAACGTGTCCTGTTGGGGGTTGGGAAGATGGAAGGTGCCGAATGATGGCATCATCATAATAAGGGACAACCTTTCCGAGAGAATTGAGGATGTGGGAACCCTCCATTGCAGAGTATAGCTGCCTTTCCCACAGGGGTGTTCCTGGCAATGCACCAAAATATGCTAAGGAGGCCATCAATATCTCCCTCTGACTTTCATTGCAGGATATATTAAGTTACTGCAAAACTCTATAAAAATAGTTTGCTTGGGAAAAGAAATACGACTCAAAAGAGAACTTGGTCCTGCATTAAAAAAGCCAACGGGCAACAGATCAGGACAAGGAGACGGTGGGAAATTTGGCTGCTCTCCTGTCAAAGACACTCAATTCGATGGATGACCTCTGGCAAGCTGTTTGACCTTCCTGTTCTTTGGCTGCCAAAAATCTCAATCCTGGTAGGGCTTGTTTTGCATTTGCACCAGCAAAAGCCTTGCCTTCGAGAACGCAAGCAGAGCGACGTGGCTCAGCAAAGAAGCTACCCGCCATCTCCTCTGTGCCTCCTCGTCCTTGTAGCATTTCATTTTTACCTGCTTACTTATAAGTTTGTCAGCACAAACTGCATTTTTTTCTGCCTTTCGGAAGAAAAACCAAACAACAGATGTGGGGGGGGGGGTTTACAGGGGGGGGAAAAAAACAATTAACAAAGTCAAAAATCATTCACCAGGAAAATTTAAATTCTGCACGTGCAATATTAGGCATCGTAACATATGTTTACTTTGCATATTATTTTATTCATCTGAAATCCAGCCTGCCAAATATTTCTACAGGCTGCAGAAAAATGAACCCATGACAATGCAAAGTTTGCAGGACAGAGGAAAAACTGTCCAGGGTACTGAAATAAAAATACTGGCAATTCTTTTGATCATTTTTTATGTGTAGTTCACATAGATACTACAGTACATGCACCGAAGCTGCCTTATCTTTATGGTTACTGATTTTATCAGTCAAGAATCTTTAATAGTTGGATAGCTGTATAAATCTCCATGTCCGTTGCCTGAATTTTAAACCAATCTATAGTTTAAATATTGTTCTGTGCTAACAAAGACAAGTTTATTCAACCAGAGTTGTTCCAAATCATTTGCTTTGGGTTTTTTTTCCCCCTCTTTTTCTTTTCAAGTGGTTATGGAAACATTTTTGTTTCTCTCTATGGTGCTATAAAAAGAATTGTATATGCCAATTATCAGTCTGAAAAAGATCCTCCCTACATTTTGTTTGCGATTTCTGGTTTTCTGAAGTTGTCCTTACAGTCAAATTATAACTTGTAACAATGCTAGTGTAAGATTGTAGAATTAAAATAAGCTTTAAACACATCTATGTCCAATATCCAAGGAATAAGGGGCCTGATAGCCTGGATTGTCTGGATATTTCACATCTATCCTTATCTGGGCAGGAAATGTCCCAATATTTATGGGATGATTAGGGTTTCTTGATTATGAGGCCCAGGGTGTTTCTTGACTCAATTTGGTTGCTTAGTGCAAAGGCCTGCTAAAATAACTCTTGCCAATAGAAAATTGATTAATTCCTTTTAGCCATCGAGAGAAATTAAATCAGGTAGCATCATTGAACAATTTCGAGTCATCATTTGCTGCACAGGTAAGATAGAACTTTAGGAGGGTACCTTAAAGCTATGTAGGAGGAAAATCATGGTCCACCAGCATTTTTCTCATCTACTGTGTATGTTAATTAAAATGACCTAACAGTGATGAATAGTTTCAGGTTCCTTTGAAAGCAGTCAAATTTCCATGACAGCATATACAGGCAGTCCTGGACTTACAATCACAATTGAGCCTAAAATTTATTTTGATTCTCGTTTCTCCTTCCCCTTCTGAGAAGCACTATTGTCAGCAAGTGAGATGAGACATCTGTAGGGCCACTCAATCTGAGGGAAGTTGATTTTCCAGCTAAAATCAGGGTATTTTAGGTCTCCCATTACCACTGTAGCCTGTTATCTTGAGAACTTGTGAGATGATTTATAGTTTGGTCACATCTCTGCCTGGAGAAGCATTCTATAATGTAATTGCATGATACTTTTATAATTATACTTTTGATACTTTTTATAATTATACTCTCCAGGCGATTTCCCCCTTCTTCACCACCCCACCAGGGTGGTTCTGGTCGCGATCGGGACCCTCCAGCAAGTGAGCTCGGGCAAAACCGCCCATGATCAGGGATTCCGCTCCGACTCCGATGAGGAACAAACCAGAAGTCATTATTCTTGACTCTTGACAAATGTATCTTTTATGTACACTGAGAGCATTTGCACCAAGACAAATTCCTTGTGTGTCCAATCATATTTGGCCTACAAAGAATTGTCTGTCTGTCTGTCTATCTATCTATCCGTCCATATTTTTGCTTCCAAATTCTTTTGGGCCGAAAACTCTGCTGCTAAGCAATGTGGTTGCTATACAAAACATCACACAACTGATTTACATCACCTTTCATTTGGTGGTTGAGTGAGTCACCACTTCAGACTGGAAAGCAAGACATGCAACCTTGACTTGCAATTTTACTGTCACCTTCTCCATTGACTCTCATCAGCAGCAAGTTGTGAAGTAAGCAAATGTCAATCACCGCAGGGTCACTGCAACAGTCATAAATGCAAGGGCCAGTTGTACAGTTACTGTTTCAGTGCCATCAAGTGTTTTAGATGCTTGCTAAATGGGGCAGCTGTTAAGTAAGATCTATATGTTGGAGATAAGAGATTATCACTGCTTACTGGTCTCCGTGCTGCCACATACAGGTAGTCCTTGATTTACGACCACAATTGAGCTCAAAATTTCCATGCTAAGCAAGGCAGTTAAGCCCTACCTCTATTAAGAATTTCAACTATTTTTTTTGTCTTGCAAGGCCTTATTATATGAAGCCATGTTCCTAATGTCCAGCACTTTTCTTGGTCCATGGTTCTTTTTCCCTCATCCTTTCAGTTTAGTTTAGCCCTCCTGACAAGATTCCCAAAGCTCTTGCCAAACATGTGCTCTTTCCCCATATGAGCTGCAGTTCATGTCTGGCTAAAGTCTCTTGTACTATTGATGAAAGGATTGGTCTAAATCTCAGATTTTATACCAATTTGTTAATTAGCTATTCACTTTCAGTTTGCTTTCCTGCAAAAAAAAACAACTCTCTTTCACACCCAGCCTCTTCACTTCCTACTCAACTTTGTATTCTAAACCGGTGTTTCTCAACCTTGGCAACTTTAAAATATGTTGGCTGGGGAATTTTGAAAGCTGATGTTCACATGCCTTAAAGATGTCAAGGTTGAGAAACACTGGTTTAAAGTAATCTTTCTTAAAAGTAATTGTCCTCTTCTAGCTATAATGCATGACCACAAATGGGAGTGAATTGCAATTAGTAGTTTTGATGTGGCTCAGTAGTCTTTCCACTTCATCTGGAAGCACGCATCAGAAGACAGCTCATATCCTACAAAACATATAGCTGCTCCTACCCCTCTCAATATCTCACTACCACTCTTCCTTTCTTCTCATTGAACTTTTTGTTGATTACTTTGTAGTTGAGAATCATTTACACATTTATACCGTATTTGCCGGCGTATAAGGCGACCCGGCGTATAAGACGACCCCCCACCACCACCGGAAATGCCCTCCAGAAATCCCCAGGGCTGCAGCGGCAGGGCGGAGTGCCAGGGGCCGTGGGAAGAGCAGGAAGGCTGCAGCCTCGGGCGGAGCGAGGCGAGCGGGATGAAGCGGAAGCGACGCAGGGGATCCAGGAAGCCAGAGGCGCCTTCGCTGCGTCCAACAAGCATCCGAAAGCCGGCAGTGGATATACCGGCGTATAAGACGACCCCCCCACTTGGAGGCATGTTTTTCGGGGCAAAAAAGTCGTCTTATACGCCGGCAAATACGGTACTTACTATTCTGTATGTGTCAGAATGGTAAGATTACCCCATATGAAACTCACATTATGCTCACAGTACGTTCACCACTTTTGAGTTATGTATGTATGTATGGTATTCAGCTTTGTTCGGGTATTTTCCCACGTCATTATAGTTGTGCTTTTAATGATGTGGGAAAATACCCGAACAAAGCTGAATACCATACATGTAAGTACCCGCGAAAACTTAAGAAAACATATATATAATCTATATCTATATCTATAATCTATATCTATCTATCTATCTATCTATCTATCTATCTATCTATCTATCTATCTATATCTATATCTATATCTATATCTATATCTATATCTATATCTATATCTATATATATAAAGAAAAACAGGATAAGAATTTTGTTATATAATTATATTTTTGTGGTTTTAATTGGTTTAAATGTTTTTTGTTTGGCTTATTTTGTTGTATTATTTTAGATTAAACCAGACTATTGACACATATAAAAACATTCTTTGTATTTTTATTTTAAAAAAAAATTAAGATTAAATTTTTTGTAGCAAAAATAGTAAATTTTAAAATTGTTCTGTTTTGTGTTTTCAATTATATATGCCACTCAGACTCTCATATGGTGAGATGGGCAGCTATATATATTTCACAAATAAATAAGCAATTCAAAATTATATAGCCATCCTCTGATATACAACTCTGGGCAACTTACAATGAAAAAGAAAATATAAACAATAAACAATAAGACAATAGTTTAAAAACATGGAAAAATGCATATAAAAGCACATTTAAAAAGCTTCATAAAATACAGAAAACTCATAGCTATTGTGCATTATTTATTTCATAGGACTTCTACTCTTTTGACAGGGGAAAGAAGAACAAGACCAAAAGTAGACAACAGAATAACAGAGTTGGAAGGGACCTTGGAGGTCTTCTAGTCCAACCTCCTGCTCAAGCAGGAGACTATACCATTCTGGACAATCTTTTCTTAAAAGCCTCCAGTGATGGAGCACCCACAACTTGTGAAGGCAAGAGAGTTTACTGATTAATTGTTCTCAGGGTCCTTATTTCTAGGTGGGTTTTTTAATTGATTAGTTTTCATCTATTTCTTCTTACCTTGCAGTATATAAAGCGGTATTCAACACACGTTCTTAAAACTATCCCTTCTCTTAATGAAGGCTGCATTTATATTATTTTTTTCTTGCCTAAGTGTAAACCCTTCCTATTTGCACCACTGAATTGCCTTTTGTTGGACAGCTGCAGTGTTTAAGTCTGTTAAGATCCTTCGAGAATGTTCAACCCATTTTCTGGAGTGTTGACTATTCTCACCAACTTGGCCTCATCTGCAAATTTGATTATTTCCTTCCTTCCTTCCTTCCTTCCTTCCTTCCTTCCTTCCTTCCTTCCTTCCTTCCTTCCTGTCTGTCAGAATAGAGTGTTGCAGGCTAACTCTGCCCAAGCCAGCATTTCGAGACTCACCAGGCTCAAGGTTGGCCCAGCCTTTCATCCTTCCTAGATCGATAAAATGAGGAGCCAGATTGTTGGGGGCAAGAGGCTGATTCTGTAAACTGCTTAGAGGGCTGTAAAAACCCTGTGAAGCTGTATAGAAGTCTAAGGGCTATTGCTATGGTAGTGCCTCCCTCCCTCCTTCCTTCCTTCCTTCCATCCTCCCTCCCTCCCTCTCTTCCTTCCTTCCTTCCTTCCTTCCATCCTTCCTTCCTTCCTTCCTTCCATCCATCCATCCATCCTTCCTTCCTTCCATCCATCCTTCTTTTCTTTTCTTTTCTTCTTTTTTTCTCTTCTCTTCTCTTCTCTTTTCTTCTCTTTTCTCTTCTCTTTTCTTTTTTTTTCTTTCTCTCCTTCCTTCCTTCCTTCCTTCCCTTTCCTTCCTGTCAGAATAGAGTGTTGCAGGCTAACTCTGTCCAAGGTAGCAGTTCGAGACTCACCAGGCTCAAGGTTGGCCCAGCCTTTCATCCTTCCTAGATCGATAAAATGAGGAGCCAGACTGTTGGGGGCAAGAGGCTGATTCTGTAAACTGCTTAGAGAAGACTGTCAATGGACCGTGAAGCGGTATATAAGTCTTAAGGGCTATTCCATTCCAATCCCCATTCTATTCGACTGCCGTGGTGGTGCAGTGGTTAGAATGCAATATTGAAGGCTGACGTTGCCCACTGCCAGGAGTTTGATCCTGACTTGGTTCGAGGTTGATCCAGCCTTTCATCCTTCTCCCAGATCTATAAAATGAGGATCCAGAGTGTTGGGGGGTCAAGAGGCTGACTCTGCAAAAACCACTCAGAGAGGGCTGTTAAGCACAGTTAAGCCTTATTGCTATTGGAAGAGTCCTGGGTGCAAGACACAACCTTGGGACACGCCACTGCATGTGTCCCTTCATGTACACACAGCTCCATTGAATGCAGTTTGTCGACGCAGCTGAGTTGCTGAGAACTGACTCTAGCGGGCATGTTTTCCAAGTGGCGTTTGGGGACTCCGTGTGAAGGGAACACCTCAGAATGGAGAGAGCCAGGCTCTCCATTCCTCCTCCAATGGAAAGCCATAGGGATTCCTCGGGGGGGGGGCTCTGGGCCAGTGGGGAAGGCATTGACCCAGCACAACAGAGACCAGGGGCCTCCTTCAGAAGCTCCCTCAGTGACTTCGCAGCTGGGGCCTCATGTTCGGCCAGCCCACCTCGCAGGGCTGTTGTTATGGGGAATTAAACAGGAAGAGGCAGCCCCATGGAAGCTCTTGAAGGAGGGGGTCCCCAAACTTGGCTACTTTTTTAAGACTTGTGGACTTCAACTCCCAGAATTCTCCAGCCAGCTTTGGAGACCTTTGCCTTGAAGGAAAGGCGGGGAGGAAAAAAGGAGGCAGCCTGCCGGGATGAAGTAAGTGACGAGAGATCCGGCCTCCAGCTCCGTCTGCCTACCTCACAGGGGTGTCGCAGTGGCGGGCAGAAGCGGAAGGACGGAGCACCTCGCGGCTCCGAAACAATAAAGAACCCTCACAACGCGCGCGGCCTGCTTAGGGCGCGACACTCGCTGAGAAGCCGACGGCGATAACGTCCAGCTTTTACCTCAGACGTTGGCGGGAAAATGCACCGGAAGTGGCAACGCCCTTCCCGCGCGGCCCCGTCCCTCCGCGCGCGGCCTTTTCTGTTTGGCCCGACCCCCCCCTCCCCGGCGACGGCCAATCAGAGAGGCGGGAAGGAGGGCTGCCCGGCAACGGGAGGCGGGACGGCGACGGGGCCTCGCTTTCTATAGCGGAGATGTTGCGGACCGAGAAGGTGCTGCTGCTGCGGAGCCTGCAAGGCCGCTCCGTGCGGGTCGTGCGCGAGCACTACCTGCGTCCGGACGTGCCTTGCGGCAGCGCCCTCTGCCGGTTGGGCTGTCCCCGCGGTGCGTTGAGAGCGGGGGGCGGAGCTTGGAGTGGGCGGGGCGGCGGCTCGGGGAATTAGGTCGTCGTGTGAATGCCGTTCGCGGCCTTCCCGGGGTGGGCGGGGCTTCTGAATGCTTGGGAGAGGGGGAGGAGCCCAGGAGGGGTGGAGCCACGGGGCGGGTTTCCTGTGTGATCTCAAAATATTAGCTTCACGTGGAGAACATGTGAATGTGTGAACACGTGTTGGGTTGGAAAGAGGCGTGTGGTGGCGCAAAATCACTGCTGGTGCTGAAGAGCACGGAAGAAGCTCAGTGTCCAATGGACGGAGGGATCTAAACGTAATATTGAAGTTTAAAGTTTGTTAAGAAGTCAAAGAAAAAGACATATTAGAAAGTTCTGATTTAAACAGAAAAGAAAAAAAAGTTTAGTACTTTGAAGGGAAAAAAAGGGTGAAAAATAAGGCTTCTCCCCTTTTTTTCAGTAAGGGTTTGAAAGAATACAATGAATTTTGTAAATAAAAATGGGGACGGTTCCCGAAGATTATTACTAGGTGCAAATAGAAATAAACAGAGAGTATCTTCACTTACTGCACCAATTGGTTTGCCAATTGCACCGGGGCAGATAGGAAAGCACTCCAGAGCAGGGGTCTCCAACCTTGGCAACTTTCAGACTGGTGGACTTCAACTCCCAGAGTTCCTCAGCCAGCTTTGCTTTTTTGCTTTGTTGGCTAAGGAACTCTGGGAG